GTTCATTCTAATAAGTTTTGTTACTGATTCCCACCTCTTTTCTCTCCTACAGTTGATACCAGGCCTGTGAGCTTTCCAATTAAAACTATATTATTCCACCTGACTAAATTCAATTACTTGTTCTACCTCACTCCTGCCTTGTCCAGCCACAGAAAATGTCCTGGTCAGTTGTGTGAGGCATGACCAAAGCTAGGCATGCTCATAGCATTTTGGATTTTGATTGCTTTGGAATTTGAAAGATGTGAAAAATAAAGTTAAAAATAGGCCATGAGAGGCTGAAATGTTTGAGCTGACTGATAAAGATCTTGCCAGATATGCTGTAGATATACTGTAGATATACTGTAACTGTATGTTTCTTTCAGGTCTACCACTATTTCTTATTCTCTAAATATTTTTTAGAAAATCCAGCATGTGGAAGTTAAACTTTTGTTATTTATATTGATAAAGTAGAAATATTTTATTTTGCTGTTTTGTTATGCAAACAGTTCTGGACTACATGTTCTGAAGGAATTAACCTGGGAATCCCTTTAATTTTCCTAGGGAGCCCGGTGTACTCAGTAATCTTCTGTAATGAGAGAGATGAATGGACAGGACGTCTAGCTGATTTTATGAACAAGGAGAAGGATAATTGGAGGAGAGAGCAGCAGGAAGGGCACTGATCGAACAGATGAAAAGTCATGGAGGGCTGGATGTGTAGGAGGACTTCAAAGGTTGGATCGCACTATGAGAGAGACAGAAATAGAGAGCTGGTCCCTTAGTTTCATTGAGTAGAAAAAAACATACATACCTTAACAATAACAGTAAAAAAAAAACTCAATTATTTATTTCACTGCAATATTACACAAGAAATCCTTAACTTAAAAAAGACCAACTACATGTTAAGTAAGGGTGGCAAGACTGTTAGTTCTTTATTTCTCCTTTATAATTGGGAAGCTGAATGGCGATAATTCTGTAGGTGCTGCAGATGCTTAATTGGGTTGAAATCAAAAGATAACCAAAGATGTGTGCATCAAACAATTTCCGGACTGATTTGAAAGAGCTCATGCGTGCACTGCTTTTCTAAAAAAAAAATACATTTGCCATCAATGCAGTGTTGTTCACTCCCAGCAGACTTCTGTGGACACAATTTTCTCTAGAGTCACTTGACTCCCACAGACTCAGCTAGATATTTAATGGAAATGTTTTTAGAAGTCAAAAAAGCAGCATACTAGTTATATAAAAAATAAGTAATAAACAGTATTTAACTGTGCTAGAAATTATGCTGAAAAATTCAGTGACTGCAGAATTACCAAATTCTCCAGGGAGGGATTGACTGAGTATGTGATCCACAACAAATCCAACACTAACAAAGTGCAAATAAAGGTACCAGGAAGAAGTAGGAGAGCTTGTAACTGATTAGATAAGAAAAGTAGCCCATCTAAAAGGATTAAAGACCAGGCTTTGTGTGTTTCTATAGAAATTAATGTACAACGGTCAGAAGAAAACTGTTTGTTTCATGATTGTCTTTGTTCCACTCATTTCAGATCTCCCTACTGACACAGAACAGTTCAGAAAATAGAAACAAATATAACTTAATGAGGGACCTTTTACACCTCATAGCTGGAGGAAGTACTAATGACTGTGTTAGTACAAAAGGTCACTTCCTGAATATTTTTCCCCAGTCCTCTTTAATTTAGGAACACCTGGTAGTAAAAGGTTTTCAGATAGTGACAAACAGCACTGTTGTTCAGGTTTTGTAATGTTTGAAAAACATTACTTTTGTAATGCTTGGTCCATTAAACGTGTGTTGCTCTGTTGGTAATCAATATTCTTACAGGAAAAGCAAAAGATTTGGCAAAGCAACATACGAAAAGCAGTTATGAAAATCTAATTTTGAAGCTCTATTTCACTACAGTAACAATACCAGAATAAATGTGGAGTCTAGCAGTAGGCAGAGTCAGACAAAATCTGAACGTGATTGGAGAATGTCATTTCAACTTCAGCTGTCAAAAGACATATAGTAAAAACCTGAGAAATCTCTGGAGGAATGGGCCATTCATTTTAAATGAGTATAATACCAATGTTTGTTTTTTTTTCCAAAATCAGATTCTTAGCTGTTTCTATTTTTTTGGTCAGTAAATATATTGTTTTATCAGACCCATAAATCCAATTTTACCCAGGCTGCCCAGTTCTGGGCCACATGATTGAGAATGCTAACCCAATTTGTATTTATAATATCAAACACTGGAGAGCAGTTCTATAAAACTGAGCATGATTTTACTCCTTTTGTTCCATATATTCAAACTGCAGTCGCACAATCTGACTGGCAGCCATGGTCCATGTATGACCCATACCTGGGCAACATCTCCATTTTCTAGATACGCAAAGGCCTCTCATGTTTCCTTTCCCTCTCTGTTACAGGCAGCTACATTTCCACTGCCATTTAACTCTTAGATTTCTCTCGTCCACTTGCCTCTAATTTCATTCAGACTGATCTAGGTCACCCCAGTGGTGCTCTGGAGCAAAACTGCACTCAAGCTGAATTAGTTTCTGCCTATTTCCTGGGATTCTTGGCCTAACATACAAGGGATTACTCCAGGATTTTAATTCTGTTTTAAAGGATCTATATGACATATGACAAATGATATATTTTTTTGTGATATAATGTTATATCATTCAGTACAAGTACATCATTGTGATTCACATTCAGCTTTCTTTTTTATGATTTCTGCTGTATCTGGAGCTTTTGGTATGTTTTATGAAGACTTTATTGAGCAAGTAATGGTATTCCCCAGCAGAAAGTCCACTTGGCTTGCTATGCATTTTCTGACCAAAAAGCCACTAGAATGTTGCTCAGAATAAAAAAATAATCTTAGGTTCAGTTGCATAAGCAGTAGTACATCTTCAAACCCTCACAATTCAGTAGTGCTGTCCTTTTTCTACTGATAAAGCTGTGTTTGCGTTAGCAGTCTTTCTTTTTACAGGATTTTAATTAATTGAGTAGCAAAATGCCCAACCTGATGTACTGTAGATGTAGTGATCTTTTTCAATTCCCATTTTCAGTTGTGTTGTACGAGTATCCAGTGTCAGCAGTCTACAAATGGGTGAATCAATGAGTTCTGGAGCACAACTCCTTAAAGTATTTGATTTTGTAGAACACTTCAGCTACCTAAATAGCACAACACAATGTATAATTTGTCTGTGATTTAATTCTCAAGTGCCAAGAGACGTTCTTTACAATACAGTTGGTGAGATGTGAAGAGGCGGGTGGCCTGTTTCTCCTCAAGACTCCCGGAATTCAGAAAATACATCTTTGGTGTTTACAGTACCGTTCACTCTCATCATGCATTTACAGTTGATACTATTTCCGGTCCTGAGTCACTGGCAAGGGTGTCCTTCCCTAAGGAGAATTCAGAAACGGCAGCAAAACGCTGAAAGCTTAGTGATTCATAAACAGTTAATAAACTCTGTCAACCATTTTGCCATCTGCCATTTCTTCAACAGCTGCACGCAACCACAGAAGAGACCACATAGGCCTTTTTTAAATGTCTTGCCTGTCAGCTTTATGTCCCGTGGGTGGTTTGTCAATACTTTGGTATTGAAGAGGCTGCTGGGTTGATTATTCCTGTAGAGATGTTAAGCAGCTTTGTAAAAAGTGGTCAGGTTCAAACAAGCACCTTTTTTGCTTTTATTATGGCAGGAAGCTCACAAAAGGTGTGAAAGGTTAATGTGTCTCCAGAAAGCAGGTGGTATTTCATACTTTGATGGCTCTATTCACTCATCACTTTAACACAAGAAAACATGCCTCAAAGGTATACTGTATATAAAATATAAAAATACTGTATATTCCGCAGATATATAAACCATCTTAGATTATATTCAATTGCTGACTGCCAAAAAGTTATACCAAAGTTTATTTTAAGTGTCTGAAGTCTATGTCAGAGCTCATCCTGGTTTCTGTAGTGTTAGTGACTCCCCCACTCTAGATGTGACACCAGCCCGTCATCAGGACACCCCAGCGTCCTGGCCAAATTTCCCATTGGCCCTTACCAATCATGGCCTCCTAATAAGCCCCATCTATGAATTGGCTACATTACTCTGCTCTCCTCCCCACTGATAGCTGGTGTGTGGTGAGCGTTCTGGCGCACTATGGCTGCCGTCTCATCATCCAGGTGGATGCTGCACATTGGTGGTGGTGGAGGGGTGTCCCCATTACCTGTAAAGCGCTTTGAGTATAGTGTCCAGAAAAGCGCTATATAAGTGTAAGC